AACTAATTAACGCGAGAAAAAAAATAAAAAATAAAATTAGTAAAATAAGGAAAAAATTAAAAAAAACTGGTTTTACTCTAAAAAAATTGAAGAGATGGAAAAGGAAAATGATGGTACCGGTTAGCTTGAAAAATGGGTTGAATTCCGGCGACTTGGCCGGATTCCAGCGAGATTCCGGCGGGTTTGAAAATAGTTCAAACCCGCATGAATCGATAGCTCTTGTCAAGAGCTATCGACTCATGCAAGTTTTGAGTCATTTGGACCGTGGAATAGTGAGTTAACCGGAACTAAAATTTTCCGATTCTTAGATTTAAGATCTAGGAATTTTGGTGAGGTTTTTTGGAAAACTAAGCCTAAGGGGTGATAGAGGGGAAGGAGAGGATTGTTTGGTGAAAATTTGGGGTGTTTTGGAGTTGCTCCGCCGCCGGAGGCGATTTCCGGCCGGCGGAGCTTGGCGGTGATGGCAGCGGCGGATGGTTGGAGGAGAGAGAAGAGAGAGACGGTGGGGGGAAGGGAGGGTGTTGGAATTTTAAGAAAATGAGGTAGTGGGGTGAGGTTTGGACATTTAAATATTAAAAAGTTGTGGGGTTCTAGGCCGTTGGATCAAGATGATCCAACGGCTGGGGTCAAAAATGACCAAAACGACGCCGTTTTATGTCCGGACTGGGTTGGTTTATTTTGGCTGGAGTATTTTGGGTGCAATTTTGGGCCTGGGTGTAATTGGCCCAGGTCCTATTTTGATATTATAGGCCTAATCAATCCTAATTAGTTTAATTAATCTCTAATAAAATAATAAAAAAATGATACTTAATTTGATTTTATTTTTTTGTCTAATTATAAACTAATTAAGAGTAAAATACTTGATTTAGTACTCCTAAAAATTTAAATCTATAATTTTGCTATCTAAAGATGATTAAATTGACAATTTGACCACTAACTCTACATTATGTCAATTAGTCCCTTTTGTTTACTATTAGTCCAATTGATTATCAATGAAAATTTTGTACTTCCATGATGATAATGGTGTACCCAATTATGCAACCTTAAATTATTTAATAATTTGAAAAGATGAATTATTATTATGCAAAATAATTTCACAAATAGCACAAAAATCAACAAAATTTATATATTAGATTATTTTTATTGAAATTTTTTATAGGAGTATATGGTGGGTTAAAAATTACATGCTCACAGCTGCCCCTCTTTGCTCGGAAACACGAAGAGGTTTCGGGCAAAGACAAAGTGAGCAGCTACAAGCAACTTTTACCCGTTCAAATACTCCATGTGAAGCGATTTTAAAAAGTTTGACCGAACCTTGCTTCAGAGGTTGCCTACATATCCTTGGCTGTAAAGGAATCAGGTCAGTGTAGTTCTAGAAGTTTTGGTAACTGGGACTACCGAGTGACTGGGGTTTCAACTGCTGTTGCTGCTGTTACTGCTGCTGAGCTCCTTATTACACCAAAGTAACAAAAACAAAAGACTAGCCAAACCTATAAACTATGAGTTACAAGATTCCTTATCAATAGATTCTAATGCTTGGTTTTGAGTCTTGGCTGGTTCTTTTGCCACCTCTGACCTGAATCTTGATGCTGGTTAGCCGTGAATGTTGGTTTCATCTTTTGTCTTTCGAATCAAGGCAAGCTATTCAGAACGGATGACTTCAATCTCGTCCTTAACAGTCCATGTTTTTCCTGCTTCTGTACTTTGGGTTTGACCTTTTCTTTTCCTCCTTTATTTGTTCTGGATCGAAACTTCTTCTTTTGCTCGTCTCGAATCCATTGTCCTAAATTGCACTCTGCACAAAATCAAAACGAACGAAAATTCCTGCCCCAGCTTTACTAGGACAATTTCGTGAGTTATTGTAATAACATCTAATACTACTTTATTATTTAAAGCAATGAAAGGTCGGGAATGGTATACCCAGACTAAAATGTAGACTAAGGAGTGGATACCCTATGTCTGAAGTAAAATCAACTAGGTATTAGAGACCCTATGTTGGGAAAGATCGACAGTTTATGCTGTCACCAGAAACAATCACCAGGTTATGCCGGTATCTGGAAATGAGTAACAGGTTATGCTGTTAAAAAAAAGAACCACCGGGTTATGCCGGTGTGGGGAAGGATCAAACAGTTATGTTGTTTCCCGGAAAGAGATCACTGGGTCATACCGGTGTCTGGAAATTAGCAACAGGTTATGCTGTTGTCAAGAAGAATAGATCACCAGGTTATGCCGGTGTTGGGAAGGATCAACAAGTTATGTTGTTGCCTGGAAAGCGATCACCAGGTTATGCCAGTATCTGGAAATGAGCAACAGGTTATGCTGTTGTCAAGAAGAATAGATCACCAGGTTATGCCGGTGTTGGGAAGGATCAACAAGTTATGTTGTTGCCTGGAAAGCGATCACCAGGTTATGCCGGTGTTGGGAAGGATCAACAAGTTATGTTGTTGCCTGGAAAGCGATCACCGGGTTATGCCGGTATCGGGAAATGAGCAACAGGTTATGCTGTTGTCAAGAAAAGATCACCAGGTTATGCTGGTGTCTGAAGGATCAACAGGTTATGTTGTTGCCAGAATAGATCACCAGGTTATGCTGGTGTTGTGAAGAATCAACAGGTTATGCTGTTGTTGAGAAAAGATCATCGGGTTATGCCGATATAAACAACAGGTTATGCTGTTGTTTATAAGCCTTTCTCTTTTGACTTGTTTTCCTTTTGTATCGGAGCATTGGTGAGGTTTTGGCTCCTTGAACTTTACTGTGGGGACTAGTTGCGTATGAATCAACCATTTCTTTGTTTCGTATTTATTGGCCTTTCCAAACATTTGGGAATATTTCAGCTTTTCAGATTTTCGTCGAGACAGTTTAGCCACGTGGGGCTCAAACCTTCAACTTCGTTTGCCTTTGCAGGTATTTCATTTGATTTTCTCCTTTCACAGGTTTCGAGCTTGAAGCGTCGGCCGCTATGGTCAGTCGAGATCGACTCGAGGCCCCTGACGAGGCTGGGTGCCTTCTGCATGCTAGCCCGTATCAGATGAGAGTCCCGTAAATCAGTCTTGCCATCCCTTTTTTTTCTTAATTTTAGCAGAGTTAGCCCGAAAGAGATTCAGAAGAAAATCAATAATAGAATGGACGCCGAATTTTAAACAAAAGTATCCCTTTCGGGGAAAGGAAAGAAGGACTTATCTGGAGTGCAATGCGGACTTCAATGAACATGACATGCCTTTTGGACTGGATGCCAGATCTGTGTAAACCGTCCGCTCTCAGAAATTCACCACAATTATCATTTCGAGATTGAGAAACCTTGCCCCGGACTGTGTCCATATCAGTGACCCATTATTATTTTCGGTTAGTGGCGCCCTTTGCGGGTTTTCGCCAACTAACCTCTCTCATTTCTCTTCTTACCATCGCCTTGTAGCGCTCTTTGCGAGTTTTCACCAACAAGACTCTCTCATTTCGATTTCTCTTCTTACCGTCGCCTCACGGTGCCCTTTGCGGGTTTTCACCGATAAGACTCTCTCATTTTATTTCTCTCATTTGTTTGTATCAGATCCAAATAACTGTATCCTTCAATTTTGGTCACCTTTGCCGATTGGTCGGAAGGACTTGAATAGGATTTTGGGTAAAAAGAATTTGGATTGAATTACAACTTTGGAAACTTTTAGGTGAAAACACCGTCGAATTATCACAACATTTGCCCCAGCTTAAACTCTTGGGGAAATGTGGAATTTTATTTGGCTGTGACTGAACCCCTGGGTGAGGTTGCCTACGTATCCTTTCGGAATCAAGTCAAATGTAGTTCAGGTACTTTTATTTTTGTTTTGTTTTTTTCTTCTGTTTTGTTTTGTTTTCTTTTCTTTCCTTGTTTTCTCTTCTTTTTTTTTTTCATTTCAATTTCTTTTTTTTTTCTTCTTTTTTTTTTCTTTTTCTTTTTCTTCTTTTTTTTTTTTTTTTTTTCAATGACACTTTCAGGTTCCAAAGAAGGTAATCAAAGGAAGGTAACCGGTTCAAAGAGTTAGCAAAAAGGGTAATAGTGTTTGGGTAGCAAGAATGAAAGCCTTCGTCATTCCAAACGGAGAGTATTAATGTCATAAAAGGTCAAACATAGTACCTTTTAATCGCATCTGCATTAATAGTTATTTCGGGGTCATTCCCTTCGATGTCTCCCAAGTATAATGCTCCTTTTGGCAGCAATTTCCTTATTATGTAGGGACCCTTCCAGTTTGGAGCGAATTTTCCTTTTGCCTCTTCATGGTGTGGGAGGATGCGTCTCAGGACAAGTTGCCCTACTTCAAAATTCCTGGGCCGCACTTTCTTGTTATAGGCGCGGGTCATTCTTTGCTGGTATAACTGCCCGTGACAGACTGCAGTCATCCTTTTTTCATCAATCAGAGTCAATTGTTCCAGTCGGGTTTTTACCCATTCATCATCCTCAATTTCAGCTTCAACGATAATCCGAAGGGAGGGAATTTCAACCTCTGCAGGTATTATGGCTTCAGTTCCATAAACCAATAGATAAGGTGTGGCTCCGATCGATGTGCGCACGGTGGTGCGATACCCCAATAACGCGAAAGGCAATTTTTCGTGCCATTGCCGAGAGCTCTGAATCATTTCTCTGAGGATTTTCTTGATGTTTTTGTTTGCTGCTTCAACAGCGCCGTTGGCTTTAGGCCGGTAGGGGGTGGAGTTACGGTGTGTGATTTGAAATTGTTCACATACCTCTCTCATTAAGTGACTGTTTATATTTGCAGCGTTGTCAGTGATGATAGTTTTTGGGATACCAAAACGACAAATGATATTGGAGTGCACAAAATCCACTACTGCCTTCTTAGTGACAGCTTTGAATGTGACTGCTTCAACCCACTTTGTGAAGTAGTCGATAGCAACCAGTATAAATCTGTGTCCGATCGAGGCTTTTGGCTCAATCGGCCCAATGACATCCATTCCCCAAGCAACGAACGGCCAAGGTGCAGACATAGGATGCAACTCTGAGGGTGGTGCATGGATTAAATCGCCATGTATTTGACATTGATGGCACTTTCGGACAAAACGAAAATAATCTTTTTCCATGGTGATCCAGTAATATCCTGCCCGCAGAATTTTCTTTGCTAGGACGTATCCATTCATGTGTGGGACACACACTCCTGAGTGCACTTCGTTCATAATTTTTCCGGCTTCTTTGGCATCCACACATCTTAACAAGTTCAAATCTGGAGTTCTTTTATATAACACTTCTCCGCTTAAAAAGAATTTGCTGGCACGCCTTCTAATGGTTCTTCTCTGATCCCCACTAGCTTGTTCTGGGTATTCCTTTGTTTTTAAGAATCTTTTAATATCATGATACCACGGGTGGATGTTGGATTCTACCTCAACTGCATCACAATAACCGTGTCTTTCCCGGATTTGAATTTCCAAAGGATCAATATGGGTATTGCCCGGGTATGGAAGCATTGCAGCTAAAGTGGCTAATACATCGGCTAACTCATTGTGAAATCGAGGAATGTACTTGAACTCCACGGATTTGAATCTTTTGCTGAGATCCTCCACATGTTGTCTATACGGAAGGAGCTTAATATCCCGCGTTTCCCATTCACGTTGCGCTTGTTTGATGATCAAGTCGGAGTCCCCCATGATTAATAATTCCTCTACATCCATATCAACAGCCATGGTCATGCCCATTATGCAAGCTTCATATTCAGCAGTATTGTTTGTACAGAAGAAGCGGAGACGGGCGGTGGCTGGATAATGCTGTCCTGTGGGCGAAATTAATATTGCCCCAATCCCAACACCTTTTGCATTGACTGCTCCATCAAAGAACATTTTCCAGGTGTTGGTGTCTCCTGGAGTTATCTCAATTGAGTTTATTTCCTCATCTGGAAAAAATGTGTTTAAAGGTTGGTATTCATCATCAACCGGATTCTCAGCTAGATGATCGGCCAAAGCTTGAGCTTTCATAGCTGTACGGGTGACATAGACGATGTCGAATTCCGTGAGCAGGACTTGCCATTTTGCTAACCTTCCTGTGGGCATTGGTTTTTGAAATATGTACTTTATAGGATCCAACCTTGTGATGAGATATGTGGTATACGCCAATAAATAATGTCTGAGCTTTTGAGCAACCCAAGTTAAGGCGCAACAAGTTTTCTCCAACAAAGTGTACTTAGCTTCATATGCAGTAAATTTCTTACTCAGGTAGTAGATGGCTTGCTCTTTCTTTCCGGTAACATCATGTTGTCCGAGGACACAGCCGAAGGAATTCTCCAAGACAGCCAGGTACAAGAACAAAGGTCTCCCAGGCTCAGGCGGGACTAAAACTGGTGGATTTGACAGGTATTCTTTGATTTTATCAAATGCTTGCTGGCATTCATCTGTCCATTCAATAGCCGCATCTTTTTTGAGCAATTTAAATATGGGCTCACAAGTGGTTGTAAGCTGTGCAATAAAACGGCTAATATAGTTTAGTCTTCCCATCAAGCTCATAACCTCTTTTTTGGTTTTCGGAGGTGACAGATTTTGGATAGCTTTTATCTTGGTTGGATCTAATTCAATGCCCCTCCGGCTGACTATAAACCCCAAGAGTTTCCCGGATGGTACAACAAACGCACATTTAGCAGGGTTTAGTTTCAAATCATACTTGCGCAGCCGCTCAAAAAATTTTCTCAGATCTCGGACATGGTATTCTTGGGTTCTGGATTTGATAATCACATCATCAACATACACCTCAATTTCTTGGTGCATCATGTCATGAAAAATGGCTGTCATAGCTCTCATGTAAGTTGCTCCAGCGTTTTTCAAACTGAAGGGCATGACCCTGTAACAATAGGTCCCCCATGGTGTGGTGAAGGCTGTTTTTTCAGCGTCTTCCTCATCCATCAGGACTTGATGATACCCAGCATAACAATCCACAAATGACTGTACCTCATGTTTGGCACAATTGTCGACCAGGATATGGATGTTTGGCAACGGGAAATTGTCCTTAGGACTTGCTTTGTTCAAATCTCTGTAATCAACACATACTCGAATTTTTCCATCCTTTTTTGGTACCGGGACTACGTTAGCTAGCCATGTGGTGTATCTGACAACTCGGATTACACCGGCTTTTAATTGTTTGGTAACCTCTTCTTTAATTTTGTCACTGATGTCTGTTTTGAATTTCCTTTGTTTTTGTTGGACGGGTGGATAATCAGGATGAGTCGGTAATTTGTGTACCACCAAATCGACACTTAATCCGGGCATGTCATCGTAAGACCATGCAAACACATCTTTAAATTCGAGTAAGAGCTGGATCAAGGCATCTCTGGTTTTTCCCTCAGTGTGAATGCTTATCATAGTTTCTTTGATGTCTTGTGAATCACCCAAGTTGATTGGCTCTGTTTCATTTGGGTTTGGCTTAGGCTTATTCTCAAATTGTTCCAATTCTTGATTTATTTCTCTAAAAGCCTCATCTTCATCATATTCAAATTCTTGACTCATTATTTCACAGTTAGACGGCGTTTTAAGATCTAGGCATGAAGTCCGCAGGCATGTCATGTTATTTAAAGCTGCATTATTGGGATTGAAAAAAAAAAGAATAACAAAGATCAGAGAAGATAAAGGAAGATTCATGGACGATGAAATATTGATTTCATTTCATTGAATTTGAAGATAAAAGGGTTTTACATCAGAATTTAAAAGACAATGGAATTAAAAGCACTCGAGTTACACCCTGAAATAACTCAGAGTATAGAAAGGATGGCAAAACTGAACTACCAAGATTCCCGCCTGACTGGGAAGGGAGTAGCTTTCCAATTCTGCAATTTGGCATTTGGTCCCACATATTGCACCTCATCAGTGCTCGAGCCTTCACCCGGCTGGACCATGTGAACCTCATAGAGCATTTGTCTCATTGCCCCGCAAATCTCTCCAATTTCCTCGACCGTGAAGGCTTCTTCTTCTTCTTATATATATTTTGGTTTGACAAAGGATTTGGCGAGGTGCGGGATTGGCTGAGCCAGCACCCATCCATTCTTCTTACGTTTCTCAGCCCATTTTTCATCGGTAGTAGTGGCTTGAAAGCCTAAACCAAAAGACTTCTTGTAACCAGGCAAAGTGATAGGTTCTGTGATGCCTTGTAAAGCTATCCCTAGTCCTTTTCCGGGCTTATGTCCGTGCTTGATCATTTCGCTGGTGACCATGATTGATGCATTTGATAAACAAGGTTGAGGGCATGGAGTGCCTTCCTCACATTGATCGGCAATCACGATTTCAAAAGCCTGATACACAATGTTTTCGCTTCCTTCTCTTGCCTAAAGGCAAGGGACTGAGGGGTCTCTATAGATTGATTGTTCATCTTCTCCATGGACTACTATCTCTTGATTGTCATGTTCAAAATTGACCATCTGATGGAGGGTAGAAGGCACAGCCCCTGCAGCATGGATTCAGGGTCTTCCTAGCAGAAAATTATAGGAAGTGTCCATGTCCAAGATTTGAAATGTTACCTCAAAATCCACAGGGCCGATGGTTAGAATTACGTCAATTTCCCCTACAGTGTCCCTTTTAATACCATCAAAAGCACGGACACACACATTATTTGGCCTGATTCTTTCGGTGCCGATTTCCATTCGTTGCAAAGTTGACAATGGACAAATATCCACTCCAGATCCTCCATCAAGCATGACCCTTTTTACATAGTATCCTTCAACTTTGATTGTCAAATGCAGGGCCTTATTATGAGCCGCTCCCTCAGGAGGTAAGTCGCTTCGACTGAAGGAAATTTGGTTAACCTCGAAGAAACGTTCTGTCATCCTCTCTAATTGTTCGACTGTGGTTTCAGTTGGTACATACGCCTCGTTTAGCGTCTTTAGAAATACCTTTAGGTGCTTGTCTGAGCTTAACAACAGGGATAGTAGTGAGACTTGTGCAGGAGTTTTTCTGAGTTCTTCAACCACAGCATACTCAGAAATTTTCATCTTTCTGAAGAATTCCTAAGCTTCCTCAGCAGTAGCAGGCCTTTTGAGGGGGAAACGTTTGGCCTTGTTTAAAATTTCTGGGTTGTGATACTTCCCAGATGGGTTTGTTTCGTTTATTTCCCTTTGATCTCCTTCCCTTTATAAGTAACTAATGCTTGACTATAGTTCCATGGGATAACAGTAGTGTCTTTTATTGGGACTTGTGGCCTGCGGCTGATTATCAAGGGTTCATCCAATTGTGGTGAAGAGGAAGCTCTTTTTGCGACATACGCCCTTTTGGGCACATACAGCTTTGTTGAGTTTGATTTCAATTCTAGTCTTCTTGGAGGACTCAACATGATCTGCCTATTACGGGGAGCTCTTGGGACATAGAGGATAGCTTCCTTAGCTAACATCAATTCTTTCTATGTTTCCTCGGGCTTTCCTTCATTTTGAATGGTAGGCTTTATTCTTCCTCCTTGCTGACTGCTTTGGTTGTAGCTTTAGGTTTCTTTCCTGCATCTGCGATGGAAATGATGGCTTTTAATGCGGGATCAAATTCTTTGTCTTCACAAATCATCCCGATTACGGGCCCGTTGTTATGGGCTGGCAATGGATTGTTCGTTACATTGGGGACTTCCTCGTCCCTTAACACCACTTTTTTCTGCTCAATCAAGCTTTCTACTGCTCTTTTCAGTGTCCAGCAGTCCTCAGTATCATGCCCTTCTGCCCCAGAATGGTAGGCACATCTTGTACCTGGCCGGTATGATGGAGAATCGGGATTCTGCCTGTTTGGAGGTACCGGTTGCAAAAGACCCATCTGAACCAATTTTGGAAAAAGGCTGGAGTAAGATTCTCCAATGGGTGTGAAGTTGGTTTTCCTGGGTGGCTCACGAAGACAGTTATTGTTTTGGTAGTTATTCTGAGGAGGTCGGGGATTATATGGAGCTTGGTGAGGAAGGTTGTTTCTGGGAGGTGGAGCTCGATTTTGATTATATTGTTGTTGTTGCGGCCGAGGATATGGTTGGGCATTCATCACTGCAAAAGGGTGGTGAGGCACAGCATATGCTATATCTTGATGAGGATAATAATGATGTGGAATTTTGGGGCGAGCATAACCCTGAAATTGCCGTGAATTTTTTAAGTCTGAAGTCATCATAGCTCCCTCATCTTTCTTTTTCCTTCCTGCTAAACCTCCCGAGCCGCTCTGGATGGCTTGAGAGGTGGCTCTTAGAGCTGATTGACTCAAGATACGGCTTGTTTTCAGGCCATTTTCTACCATTTCACCAATTTTGAGGGCCTCCGCGAACGGTTTGCCCATGGCAGACATCATATTTGAAAAATAATCGGCTTCCGGAGCCTGCAAGAAAACACTGACCATTTCGTTCTCATCCATAGGTGGTTTTACCCGGGATGCCTGTTCACGCCATTTGATAGCGTATTCTCGAAAACTTTCGGAGACTTTCTTCTTGAGATTGGATAACGAGTTTCTGTCCGGTGCTATGTCCACATTGTACTGAAATTGTTTCACGAAGTCCCGGGCCAGATCATCCCAAATATGCCAGCGGGAAATATCTTGGTCTATATACCATTCTGATGCGATCCCGGCAAGACTTTCTCCGAAATATGCCATTAATAGTTCTTCTTTTCTTCCTGCCCCTCTTAATTGATTGCAGTATCTTTTCAAATGAGCAATCGGGTCTCCATGCCCGTCGTATTTTTCGAACTTTGGTGTTTTGAAACCTACAGGAAGATACACATGAGGAAACATGCACAAGTCAGCGTAGGACACGCTCTTGTGGCCACTTAGCCCCTGTATATTCTTCAGGCTCTGTTCAATACTTTTCATTTTCTGGGTCATTTCATCCTGTTCAAATGTTTCTCAGGATTTTGTCCGGGTCCACCGGAGATTCAATTTGTGGGTACTGTGGATAAGGGTTTGGAGTGACCCGAGTAGGGTCCATCTGGAACTGGGGAGCTTGGAAGGTGAAACTTGACGGCTCAAAACTCTGTCGTAGCACGGTAGGTTGTGCCATACTGGTTGCTGGTGGTGCAGCAGATATAGCAAAGGATGTTCCAGAAGACGGTGCCTGGGGGCGGACCTCAGAAGGCATTCCGGTGTAATTTGACGTCATGGTGGGAAACCCAAATGGTATGAACGGGTTTGGTACTGAGATGGGAACATTAGAAGTCCCTCCAGTTCTTGGAATCAGCTCAGGGAAACCAGGGATAGAATTAGGCGGCTCTCTACCATTGGACCAAGCATCCCACATTTCCAACATGCGGCATCTTAGTCTTCTGTTTTCCTCGGCGACCGCCGATTCTGTTGGCGAAATAACCGATGTAGGGCCATCTTCAGGTTCAACAATAGCCAGGTGACTTTCGGATGTCATTCTGATTTTTCCTTTAGATCTTGTAAAATAAGGATGTGTCGCCAGAATACCACCGTAAACCAACTACCTTTAAATGAAAATAATAACCTTTAAGAATGATGAAGCAAACAGGTTAGTTTGAGGTATTAACATAAAAGGAATCACACATTGGGATGCAATGCACCTAAACATTTAAGTTTTTTTCTAACATGTTTGCGACGGTGGTGTGTTTCATCCCGACTTTATTGTTCTCCTTCTTTTCTTTATCTCTCCTTTATGGTTATGATCGAATCCTAGGTGGATTGCCTACGTATCATGACGCCGCATGAATCAGATCATTACGTAGTTCAAGAAAAAAGGTAATTTCATTTCATAACCAAATTCTTTCATTTCAAGGATTTTGAAAATACTGATAAACATGAAAGGAAAATACAGACTCAAGTTACTGACACTTATAAGGGAAACATTACAAACTCTGGATAAAAGACACAACACTTAACATTCTAGAAAACAGTAAAGTACAGACTCGAAAACTAAAACATTAATAGTAAAGAAGGGCTTCTGGTTGTCTTCTCGGGGCTTGTGGTCTTGGGGCAGGCCTATGGGCGATGTCTTCTTGGAGCCTTTCCAAATCATCCATTACTTGGTGGACAAAAATCATCATGGTGGCAAAAAACATGGATACAGTCATATTCTCACACTCATGGCATTTCTGCACAACATAATCCGCTATTTCTTTGATTCTATTCCGGATAACCCCCTTCTCTTGAAGCAAACGCCCTATCTGTTGGGAACGAGCCTCTAATATCTGGGCATCTCTGTTGTTCTGATCCTGTAACTCTTGTATTATTCCCTCCAATTGGCCCACTTGGGCATAGCAGTGTTCTCTTTCTATTCTGAAATCCTTAGCCTGTTTGATCATCTCGTTTCCCATGGTGAATAGTTTTTCTTTCAAGATTGCCATTTCTTTACCATATTTTTGCCTTAAGTGATGAGCCTGTTCTTCCGCTCCTTTTGCTAACTTGTTTTTAGTGTCTGACAGGTCTTTTTCAGCTTTAGCCAAATCAAAGCATATTCATGAACTTTTGTCCTTAAATTACTGATGATCTTCTCATCTCTTTCACTTCTCATGGGTGTTTCCGCAGCTATTTTCAGATTCCGGATTTGTGCCGTAACACTTCGTTTTCTTGGGTTAATTGTCGCTTTTCACTTTCAACTACCTGTGCTTGCATTTCATTATTAAACTCAAGGTTTCTTAATTTTTCTTTCAAAGCATGGATGGTAGTCTGATACTCTTTTTCCTTTTCTCCCCAAGCTAGCCTTTCTTGAATTTTGTCATCGAAAGCTTGGACATGGGGCCTTTTGGGAGGCCTTTGTGATTCGGGCTCGGACTCTTCATTAGCGCAGTTTCTCTTTTCAAACCACCTGGCATAACCTGGGTCTACCTCACCTCTAGCAAGATTAGGTACTTGAGTGTCTTCCTTCAAATACCGACACCCACTCCAACTTTGTTGAATGAGAGCTTCGGGTAAAGGAGCTTCCGGATGCAATTCAATCACTTGGGTACTTAAATCTTCATCCTCAGGTACTATTTGGTACCGGCCCAGTTGTCTTAAAACCCTTTGAGGCGCATAAGGTTGAACACTTTTCAAACACATTAACAGCAGATGATTTTTGGTGGCGGACATGTGTATGACTTCCCTGACCGGTAGCCATCCCAGAGTCCATTCTATCTGTTCCGCGCGCAAGTTTTTTAGATGTTCAATCCAAGCCTCCACCCCTTCCGGGGAATGGTAATCTTTGATTCTTTCTTCATAGCTTCCGATGAGGTTGGATTTATCAGGACCGTAGCTCATAAACCTCGGGTGATGGCGAAGGTGTTCGATCAACCACATTTGTAGGATGATATTGCGACCTTCGAAAAATGTCTTTCCCGATTTACATTCAGTCAAAGCTCGATAGATATCGGACAATATAAGTGGAGCCAGGGTGTGATCTTTCTTTTCAGTCAAAACTTGGGCGATTCTGGCTACTCGAACATCAATGGTCCCTTTTGCATTTGGAAAAATCATAACCCCCAAGAAAGCTACTATGAAGGTTGTTCTGCGGTGGACCTTCCAAATTTCTTTGTCTTGCTTGTTTGTTAAACCTTTTTCATGTATTTCGAAACCATCGGGGAAACCGTATCTAGAATATAGAAAGTAGAAGGAGCAACAACCATCGATCACCCTGTTTTTGCTGAGTTGTCTGCTAATAGATAAAAATTCGAAAAACCGCCGCACCGACATGGGCCTGGGAAAAATAAGCTGTTGGTTTCTCAAATCCCGACCCGAACCTGCATACCCCGCTATTTCCTCTAGAGTTGGAGTGAGCTCGAAATCTGAGAAACGGAACACATTATGAACTGGATCCCAGAATGTGACCAAGGCTTTGATTAAGTCATTTCTGGGCTTAACTTTCATAACATCGACAAGAGCTCCCAGCTGTTTGCCTACCCATTCTTTACCGTCTTGGTCTAAATCATGCCACCACATTTGAAGTTGTAGTGGAGCTTCTTCTACAATGTTTAATTCTGGAGTCTGAACAGTGTTCATCTTGGACCTGTGGATAAGTGGGGTTTTTTTTTTAAAATTATTTTGTCAAAAAACGAACAACAAATTCTTTTCGCAAAAAGCCAGTAAAAGATATTTGACCTAAAGGTGGTTATTTGAGACATAATAACCAAAATGGTCATTTTTTTGCAGAAGTAGCCTCTTCTTATTTTTAAATAGATTGAGGTTGAAGTAAAAATGTTCTGACAGATCTGTTCTTTGAAAATAACCCTTTTAAAAAATGTTCTAAGGCTATTTTGGCAAGAACGGGACAAAATTTTCACCGAAGCTGGGTCGGTTTTTCATATATATTATATTTTTTTGGAAAATCGGGGTCGGCACCGATAAGGTTTGCCTACGTGTCCCACATCCGGTGAGAATCAGACCCGCGTAGTTCGGTCAGTCTAAAAAAAATGTTGACTTATTTCAAAAACTTTATTTTTTTCGAGAAATTCTGACAGAGTTTCGAGAAATTTTCAAATTTTAGACTTTTTAAAAAAAATTGGTACTCTTTTAATCTCCCTCACTCTTGGTTTTTCCGTTGTTTTTCCTTTCTTTATTTAGCCGGTCAACAACAAACCGAGGCAAAATATTGTGCACGTAGCAAGTAAGATGTATCAGGATGGTCTTTTGTTTTGGGTTCACCTGTCCTAGACGGACCCAACCCCTGTGTTGAGCCCCACTAAGTCAAAATGCTTATGATGCAGATAAACGTTCCTACTAGGGATCCGGCATGAGGTTTTGTCATTCTAGGGTTAAACCTGAGGCTTTGTTCTAGACCTTGTCTACCCCAGCGGACAACTCGAGTCGGGGTGGGAGCAACGTACCGGTAGCACGACAGGCTATCCGGCCTAGTGACTAGTCCATCCCCATGTTTCTTACTTGGTATGACCTTTAACAGAAAAGCGGGCCACGCGAACGTGTGCACCAATTTTTAGAAGACTCAGAAGGGATGCGTAAGAAGACATTTTAATACAGTTCAAATAAATATCAAAGCGGTAAATAGATGGCATTTAGCACATTTGGCACAGCAAAACAATAATATCACAGTTAATAAAGCCAAATAAAATCATCTTAACAAGCTCGAATTCTTGAACCCTGAACCAGAGATTCTGGGTTCGGTCCCCAGCAGAGTTGCCAGAGCTGTCACACCTCCTTTTTTACCGGTAAGGGCAATAAGGGAGTTTTTCCACTTGAAGTGACATTATTCGAATTTGGGATTAATTTATTTAATTTTCAGAGTCGCCACCCGGATTTTTACGGTGTTCCGGGACACCATTCATTTATTAAAATCCCAAACCGAGGAAATTTTGACTCTGTTTAAAATGTTTGCGAACCAGAAATCCAGGTAAGGAATTCTGTTAACCCGGGAGAAGGTGTTAGGCACTCCCGAGTTCCGTGGTTCTAGCACGGTCGCTTAATGATTAAACTTGCCTAAATTGCTGATTTAATACCTATATGCATTTTACATTTTTTTTATTCAATATTTAAAGAATTATTCAAAAGCGAGTTACGTATGAATAGCCTGTTGAAATTGGATATGCCAAAAACTATGTCATGCGAACATGTACATAATTCATGACACTTAATTCAATTAAAAAAAATACGTCACGCAAGCATGTACGAAAGTGTCTCTACGAGTGTTCATTTTAATCTTTATTTGTGTTACGTGAAACGTATACACAATTTGAGAAAAGGGGTGTATTTTAGTTATTTGATTCAAAGTTACACGAACGTATACTTTGATTGTTAATTGTTTCCTAAGCCTAAAGTATCCACTATTTAATTAAAGAAAAGGTTGAACGTTTACTATATCTAAGGTAAATTCCTAAATTAAATCAATAAGACCAACCTAGAGAATATTTCTAAATAAAAAAACATATATGATATTATTCTAAACATAAGTAAGAGTTTGGGCAATGGCCTAATTTAAGCCCATTTAGAAATTAACACTTTAGGCCAATCTTGACTTTGGCTATTTGTGAAAGAAGAAGTTCATGCAATTTAACTCTACACTACTAAGTTAATGATACAAATAAAAAATATGGATCAAAATTTAAAACAACTAAACAGAAAAAAAAATTTTAAACAATAAACTGCTAAATCTAGTCATTACAGATGCTAAAACTATATTCAGGTATTTCGAAATTTAAAACAAAATAAATCTGAAAATTTTGGACAGTTTAAAATTAATAACAGTATTTGGCCGAATTCTAACGATATTTAAACTCGGTTGCAATCTAATAATCATATTGCCTAACGTGTTCCATATTATATTAAATTTAAAGCGGTTTGTAACTCTAAAACTTTGGGCTTCATACCCTTAGGCCTAATGACCTTAGGTGTAGACTTGCTCGGGCCCGTTGGACTTTTTTTACAAATCTGCCCGGTTTAACTAGTAAATCACTAATTTTTACAAAATAGCCTATTAGTGTCATAATCCAAAATCAAGGGATATATAGTCTATTAAAAAATTTTAATTCCTGCGAAGAACATTCAATTAAATTTGAAATCGATATGTTTATAACAGCAAAATATAAAACAGAAATTTTGCTAATATAGCCGGGATTTTCAGTTTTAGGTGCTGAAATTACGTGAAAATGTAAACTACTGAAATTAATACGATTATACAGTCCATTACAGCTAAAATGGAAGAAAAGAAAGGAATATAGCTAGTTTAACAAAAAATTAAAATTATACATGGCCATATAAAGATTGTACATAAAATCCTACTATTTTTTAAACTATAAACTGCCTCAGTTTCAATGGCTCATGATTTTGAAACCTGCATTTTACCAGTTAAAGAGGAAATAAAGTGAGACAGCTTTATGCATTCTTAAAGGAGGGAATCTGACCATTATAGGGTCAGATTCGTTTCCTTAATGCAAGTCAAATTAAAAGGGATGAACATGACATGTTTATATATTTCTAAAGAGCCTTAAACTATTCACACATATCAAAAATGCATGGCAAATTTCAGCAAATATTCATGATTATTTCAACAAATAAAATTTCATTTATGATAGAATGGTTTACATACCTTTAAGAATGAGAACAGCAAAAAGAAAACCAGACCAAATAAAGGTCAAAGAAATGAGAACCCGAAGCTTAAACGCAGTAGAAAAAACAGCAGTTATCCCCGGGGATAAACAGCAAAAAATAGTGAGGAAATCTGGAAATTTCAGCAGCTAAAAACTATCTTTAAAGGGC